AGTAGAGATGGGGTTTCACGAAGTTGACCAGGCTGGTCTTGAATCCCTGACCTCAGGTGATCCATCTGCCTTGGCCTCCCAAAGTGCTGGGATTACCGGTGTGAGCCACTGCACCCGGCCTAACTATATATATTTTGAAGATGGGAGCATACTGAACATACTGTCCTTGCCTTGATTTTTTTTTAATTTTAAAGTATTTTCGATATCATATATATCATGTACATATCTCCCTTATTAATTTTAATAGCCACATTGTATTAACAGATGCATAGCCCATGATCTATTGAACTGTTTCCCTATTGGGCACTTAGGTTTTCTGTTTTTCTTTTATGTCCTACACAATGGTACAGTGAAATCCTTGCAGATCTCTTCCATAATTTTCTAAATATATCTGTGTCTCAAATTCTTAGATGTAGAATTATTGGATCAAAGGATGTGCGTGTATTATGTTTTGATAGATATTGCCAAATTGCCTCTTAAAAGGTTGTGCCAATTTGAATCAGTGGTTATTACTCATAAAATTCTGGTCAAAGATTTACAGATTAACTGAACGATAGCTAAAGTGCAAAGTGTGTTCTAAATTTTTAGAATTGATAAGTTATTTATAAAATCTTTCCCATTTGCAGAAAAGCTGCAGGAACTAGAAAGTATTTCCAGGGATCCCAGCAATGAGAACCCTAAACTTGAAGACCTCTGCTTCATCTTAAGAGAAGAGTACCACTTAAACCCAGAGACAATAACAATTCTCTTTGTGAAAACCAGAGCACTTGTGGATGTAAGCTTTCTTTCTCCTTCTAGATAACAAATAACCCAGCACTATGCATTGCAAAGATTGGGCTGGGTATGGTGGCTCACACCTGTCATACCAGAAGTTTGGGAAGTCAAGGCAGGAGAATTGCTTGGGGCCAAGAGTTCAAGACCAGCCTGGGCAACATAGAGAGACCTCATCTCTTAAAAAAGGAAGAATTAGTTGGGTGTGGTGGTGTGCCTCTGTATGTAGTTCCAGTTACTTGGGAGGCTAAAGGTGGGGTATTACCTGAGGTTGCAGTGATTATGACAGTGTGCTTCTGCACTTTAGCCTGAGCACGTTTTTTTTTAAAAAAAATCTGTTTTCTCTTTATAATCAAGAAACTGTGTGTATGTGTGGGTCTCTTTTGGGGTTCTCTATTTGATTCTGATTTTTTGTTTATCCTTACACGAATATTCTACTGCCTCACTGTCTTTTTTTTTTTCTTCTTCATTTAGAGACTACTTCTTTATGGTCTCACTCTGTCACCTAGGCTGGAATGCAGTGGCGCAATCATGGCTCACTGCAGTCTCAACCTCTCAAACTCAAGCGATTCTTCCACCTCAGCCCCCTCTCCCACTATGCCTCGGACTATAGTCATGTGCCACCATGCCCAGCTAATTTATTTATTTTATTTTTGTAGAGATGGGTCTTGCTATGTTGCCCAGACTGGTCTTGAATTCCTGGCCTCACGTAATCCTCCCACCTTGGCCTCCCAAAGTTGTGGGACCTGGCTTCATGCTGTCACTGTGTTAAGCATTCTAATTATAAGTCTTGATACTTACAGAGCAAGCATGTCTTCCTTTTGTTACTTTAAATGTTAGTCATTTTATGGGTAGGTAATGATACTATATTTTTAACTTGTATTTCATGAATGATGAATATTACTGAACATCTGTCTTACGCTTATCAGCTATCTGTATCTGCTTTGGTGAGGTTCAGATCTTTTGCCCATTTAAAAATTGGTTTATCATCTTACTTAGTTTTTGAGAATTCTTTTTAAAAAGTCTGACAAAAGAAGTCCTCTGTCAGAAATGTGATTTGCAGATATTTTCTTCTGGTCTGTGGCTTGTCTTTTATTCTCTTTACTATCTTTTGCAGATTGAAAGTTTTAAGTTTTGACAAAGTCCAGTATATCAGTTTTTTCTTTTATGAGTTTTGCCTGTGGTATTATCTCTAAAAATCTTTTGCTTACCTAAGGCCTCAAAGATTCTAACTATGTTATCATCTAGAAAGTCACAGTTTTACATTTTACATTTGGGTCTGCAGTCAATTTTAAATTAATTTTGTATAAGTTGTGAGGTATTGGTTGAAATGCTTTCTTTTTTTGCTTTTTCCTTGTTGTATGTGGATATCCAGTTGTTCCAGTTCTGTATGTTGACAAGACTATCCTTTACTCATTGAATTGCCTTTGTAACTTCTGAAAACATCAGTTGACTCTATTTGCATAGATCTATTTCTGGATTCTCTTTTTATTGATCCATGCATATGTCTCTTCACCCATTCTATGCTGTCTTGATTACTGTAGCTTGATAGTAAGTCTTGAAATGGGGTGATGTGAGTCCTCCAATTTTTTTTTAAAAGTGGTTTTTAGCTACATTTCTTTGCCTTTCCATATACATTTTAGAGTCAGCTTGTCCACATCTACGAAAAGGTCTACTGGGATTTTATTGAATCTAAACATGAAATTGAGGCCAGATGTCGTGGCTCAAATGCCTGTAATCCAAGCACTTTGGGAGGCCACCATGGGCAGATCACTTGAAGTCAGGAGTTTGAGACAAACCTGGCCCACATGGAACTGACATGAAACCCTGTCTCTACTAAAAATACCAAAATTAGCGTGGCGTGGTGGCTTGCCCCTGTAATTCCAGATACTTGGGAGGCTGAGGCAGAATTGCTTGAACCTGGGAGGCAAAGGATGTGGTGAGTTGAGATTGCACCACTGCACTCCAGCCTGGGTGACAGAGTGAGACTTGGTCTTGAAAAAATATTTTTAAAAATACCTAAAGATAAAATTGGGGAGAAATGACATCTTGACAATATTTAGTGTTCAAATCCATGACCATAGTATCTCTCTCTATTTACATATGGCTTCTATATTATATATTGCTGAGGAACAATTACCCCAAAACTTAGTATCTAGAAACAATGAACATTCATTGTCTAACAATATCTATGCGCCATGAATCTGCAAACAGTTTAACTGGGTGTTTCTGGCTGAAGATCTCTCATGAGGCTGCAGTGAAGGTGTTGGCCATGGCTTGACTGGTGGAAGTTACTTCCAAACTCCTCTAACACAGCTGTTGGCAGACGGGCCTCTGAGTTCACTCATGTGGGCCTCTGCATAGGTCTACCTCACAGACAGGCAGCTGGCTTCCCCTAGAGTGAATGATCCCAGAGACTGAGAGAGAGGGTGTCTAATATGGAAGCCACAGTCATAACTTCATTTTGGAAATGATGACACATCGAATCTGTTGTATTTTATTTATTAGAAGCAAGTCAGGAAGTCCCCTTCACACTCAGGGGAGGGCATTACATGAGGATCTGAATACAGAAGGTGGAGATCATTAAGGGTACCTTAGAGGTGAATAACCACATGTTCTTTGGTTTATCAGTGTTTTGTCATTTTCAGCGGATTCTGCACATATTTTGTTAGACTTATACCTAGGTATTAATTTTTCGATGCTGTTATAAATGGTACCTTAAAAGTTTTTTTTTTTTTTTTTTTTTTTGAGACAGGGTCTCACTCTCATTGCTTAGGTTGGAGTATAGTAGTGTAATCAATCACAGCTCACTTGCAGCCTCAACCTCCCTGGCTCAGGTGATTCTCCTGTCTCAGCCTCCCCAGTAGCTGGGACTGCAGGTGTACACCACCACGTCCAGCTCTTATTTATTTATTTTTGAGACGGAGTCTTGCTCTGTCACCCAGGCTGGAGTGCAGTGGCATGACCTCTGCTCACTGCAATCTCCGCCTTCTGGGTTCAAGAGATTCTCTGGCCTCAGCTTCCTGAGTACCTGGGACAACAGGTGCATGCCACCATGCCCAGCTAATTTTTGTATTTTTAGTAGAGACAGGGTTTTATTGCCTCTTGAACTCCTGGGCTCAAATGCCTCTTCTGCTTTGGCCTCCCAAAATGCTGAGACTGATTATAAGTATGAGCCACTGTGTTCAGCACTTAAAAATTTTCGAAATTCCAATAGTTTGTTGCTAGTATGTAGAAGTCAATTGACTCATATATATTGATCTTATGTCCTACAGTCACGCTAAACTCACTTATTAATTCTACATAGCCACTATTTTGAACTTTGCTTTTTACTCTTAAAAATGTCTTAGAGATGGCCGGGCACGGTGGCTCAAGCCTGTAATCCCAGCACTTTGGGAGGCCGAGGCAGGTGGATCACGAGGTCAAGAGATTGAGACCATCCTGGTCAACATGGTGAAACCCTGTCTTTACTAAAAATACAAAAATTAGCTGGGCATGGTGGCACGCGCCTGTAGTCCCAGCTATTCAGGAGGCTGAGGCAGGAGAATTGCTTGAACCCAGGAGGCGGAGGTTGCAGTGAGCCAAGATAGTGCCATTGCACTCCAGCCTGGGTAACAAGAGCGAAACTCAGTCTCAAAAAAAAAAAAAAAATATGTCGTAGAGATTAAACCATATCAGGTCACAGAGATCTATGCCATTATAGTTAATTATTACATACAGTTCAGTTCCAAAGTGCTTTTTTTCTCAGGTTTGTCAGTCTGAAATTGCATGTTTACTAACTTTAAGTTTTTTTCTTTTTGCATGTATTTCAATAATGAATTAATACAAATGGTGTATAAGGAGTGTCCAACTGATAATTGCTTTTCATTTTCAGGCTTTAAAAAATTGGATTGAAGGAAATTCTAAACTCAGTTTTCTAAAACCTGGCATATTGACTGGACGTAGCAAAACAAATCAGAACACAGGTATTTATATATAGTGAATTAGATTTATTTATTTATTTATTTTTTATTGCATTTTAGGTTTTGGGGTACATGTGCAGAATGTGCAAGATAGTTGCATAGGTACACACATGGCAGTGTGTTTTGCTGCCTTCCTCCCCTTCACCCACATTTGGCATTTCTCCCCAGGCTATCCCTCCCCAGCTCCCCCTGCCCGCTGTCCCTCCCCTATTTTCCCCAGTAGACCCCAGTGTGTAGTACTCCCTTCCCTGTGTCCATGTGTTCTCATTTTTCCTCACCCGCCTATAAGTGAGAATATGCGGTATTTCATTTTCTGTTCTTGTGTCAGTTTGCTGAGAATGATGTTCTCCAGATTCAACCATGTCCCTATAAAGGACAGAGACTCATCATTTTTGATTGCTGCATAATATTCCATGGTGTATATGTGCCACATTTTCCCAATCCAGTCTATCATCGATGGGCATTTGGGTTGGTTCCAGGTCTTTGCTATTGTAAACAGTGCTGCAGTGAACATTGTGTGCATGTGTCCTTATAGTAGAAGGATTTATAGTCCTTTGGATATATACCCAGTAACGGGATTGCTGGGTCAAATGGAATTTCTATTTCTAAGGCCTTGAGGAATCGCCACACTGTCTTCCACAATGGTTGAACTAATTCATACTCCCACCAACAGTGTAAAAGTGTTCCTATTTCTCCACATCCTCTCCAGCATCTGTTGTCTCCAGATTTTTTAATGATTGCCATTCTAACTAGCGTGAGATGGTATCTCAATGTGGTTTTGATTTGCATCTCTCTAATGACCAGTGATGATGAGCATTTTTTCATATGTTTGTTGGCCTCATGTATGTCTTCTTTTGTAAAGTGTCTGTTCATATCCTTTGCCCATTTTTGAATGGGCTTGTTTGTTTTTTTCCTGTAAATCTGTTTGAGTTCTTTGTAAATTCTGGATTTCAGCCCTTTGTCAGATGGGTAAACTGCAAAAATTTTTTCCCATTCTTTTGGTTGCGATTCACTCTAGTGACTGTTTCTTTTGCCGTGCAGAAGCTGTGGAGTTTGATTAGGTCCCATTTGTCTATTCTGGCTTTTGTTGCCAATGCTTTTGGTGTTTCGGTCATGAAGTCCTTGCCTACTCCTATGTCCTGAATGGTTTTGCCTAGATTTTCTTCTAGGGTTTTTATGGTGCCAGGTCTTATGTTGAAGTCTTTAATGCATCTGGAGTTAATTTTAGTGTAAGGTGTCAGGAAGGGGTCCAGTTTCTGCTTTCTGCACATGGCTAGCCAGTTTTGCCAACACCATTTGTTAAACAGGGAATCCTTTCCCCATTGCTTGTTTTTGTCAGGTTTATCAAAGATTGTATAGTTGTAGATATGTTGTGTTGCCTCCAATGCCTCTGTTCTGTTTCATTGGTCTAGATCTCTGTTTTGGTACCAGTACCATGCTGTTTTGATTACTGTAGCCTTGTAGTATAGTTTGAAGTCTGGTAATGTGAGGCCCCCCGCTGTGTTCTTTTTGCTTAGAATTGACTTGGCTATGTGGGCTCTCTTTTGGTTCCATATAAAGTTCATGGTGGTTTTTTCCAGTTCTGTGAAGAAAGTCAATGGTAGCTTGATGGGGATAGCATTGATTCTGTAAATTACTTTGGGCAGTATAGCCATTTTCACGATATTAATTCTTCCTAACCATGAACATGGAATGTTTCTCCATCTGTTTGTATCCTCTCTTATTTCATTGAGCAGTGATTTGTAGTTTTCCTTGAAGAGGTCCCTTACATTCCTTGTAAGTTGTATTCCTAGGTATTTTATTCTTTTTGTAGCAATTGTGAATGGCAGTTCATTCTTGATTTGGCTCTCTTTAAGTCTGTTATTGGTGTAGACGAATGCTTGTGATTTTTGCACATTGATTTTATATCCTGAGACTTTGCTGAAGTTGCTTATCAGTGTCAGGAGTTTTTGGGCTGAGGCAATGGGGTCTTCTAGGTATACTATCATGTCGTCTGCAAATAGAGACAATTTGGCTTCCACCTTTCCTATTTGAATACCCTTTATTTCTTTTTCTTGGCTGATTGCTCTGGCTAGAACTTCCAGAACTATATTGAATAGGAGTGGTGAAAGAGGGCATCCTTGTCTAGTGCCGGATGACTTATGTATTTAAGAATGTGTGTGTGTGTATTTCAAATTCTGTTTTAATGCTTGTAACCAGAGAACCAAAAGCAGTAGGTGATTATACATATATATGGGAGGCGAATGTTTATATATATGTGTCCACATATGCACACATTCAGAGATTTCTTGGAAGGAGTTACCTTATACAATTGGGCTTGCAAAGAAAGTCTGAAGTCTGTAGAGCAGGTAGTTAGGAAGGGACTATCAGGAACAAACCGGAAGCCCACAGGCATGTGCTGTTTGGAGTCTCTGAGCTGAGAAGGCCTAAGCCATCATTTACAAGTCTGCCTGAGTAGACCAGGCCCACCTAGATGAATTCTCTTTTGATTTGACTTAAAGTCAACTAATTAGGGACTTGAATCGTTTCTATAAAATCTCTTCGCAGCAGTACCTTATGAATTACCGGGAACTGTTGTTTGGCGTAGCCAAGTTAATGCATCAACAAGCCATCACAGTGCTCAAATGCCAAAAACCACTCCAGTCTCTTTGCTTGTAGATGTTGCCTCCTCTCATATGTCCTGCAGACAAAGCCAAGGTTGTTTTTTAAGTCCTGCTTGAGCATATTATTAGCCTGCTCAAATTCTTAACCAGTAGAATAACTGGAAATAGAAATGTCTGTTTGTTTTATTGTTGTTCTTCAAGCAGTAGATATGCATAGCTTTTGTGTGTATTATATATTTTACAATTTAAAAAAGTCCAAGCAGACAATTCTAAAATCTAGCTAGAGTGGTCAAAGGATAAAAGACTGCCTGTGTTATTATCTGGAAGGATCCTAGGTGGCCTGCCCTCATCCTGACCTTCTCACAGCTGTACCCCCCTCCCCTCAGTGACTGGCGGTGACAGGTCTTCCTATTTAGTGTTGTTTATAATAAGCACCCTCCCATACCCACCCTGTCAGTCCTCAGTTACCACCCTCGCACTTTCCCTTCATGTAATTTTTAAACTTCATAAATATGAAAAGTAGATTCAGATCTTAAAAAGTGGCTCAGCAAATGAAGTCTAACACCATATTCTCGTGGTTGGGATTCAAAGTTCTCTGTGATCTGACTCCAGCATGAGTACCACTTGGTTTTCAAACTTTGTTATTTCCCCACAAATAAATACTCAGGAAATATTTTCTGATTGGTTTGTTCATGGATTCATCCATTCATTCAACAACATTTATTTTATAACTTATGCTGTGTCAGGCATTGTGCTTCTGCCACATAGCCTTCCCCAACCTCCAAACACTGGTAGAGATAGCCTTCCTCCACACTCCCATAGCATCCTTGCTGTGTTCATCACACTCAGTTATAGCTTCTTATTTATGTTTTTCTTCCACAAAATATGAGCTCCTTGTGGATGAGAATGGAACTTTTAATCATTATTTTTTACCTGGCAAGCCATAATTGCTGAACATATGTTTGACTGAATAGATGAATAAATTAAGAAATTAATCATATGTGATGTCTATTCTAGAGATGCTCATTGTTGAGTGGATGATGATGGTGAAAAGAAATTGTTAGCTGAGCACGGTGGCTCATGCCTGTAATCCCAGCACTTTGGGAGGCTGAGGCAGGTGGATTGCCTGAGATCAGACATTAGAGACCAGCCTGGCCAACATAGTAAAACCTCATCTCTACTAAAAAGACAAAAAATTAGCTGGATGTGGTCGCAGGTGCATGTAATCCCAGCTACTAGGGAGGCTGAGGCAGGAGAATCGCTAGAACTCTTGAGGTAGAGATTGCAGTGAGCTGAGATCACACCGTTGCACTCCAGCCTGGGCAACAAGAGTGAAACTCCATTTCAAAAAAAAAAAGAAAAAGAAAATGTTTTGACTTTAGCAAAATATATCTCAAGATTTAGCTTGGAAATATATTAGGAAAAAATTGGAACATTTATTATTTTTTAATTTTTATTTTTGAGACAGAGTCTTGCTCTGTTTTCTAGGCTATAGTGGCACAAACAGTTCATCACTGCAACCTCCCAGGTTCCAGTGATTCTCATGTCTTAGCCTTCCAAGTAGCTGGGATTACAGGTGCATGCCACCATGCCCAGCTAATTTTTGTATTTTTAGTAGAGACAGGATTTTGCCATGTTGACCAGGCTGGACTTGAACTCCTGGCCTCAAGTGATCTGCCACCTTGGCCTCTCAAAATGCTGGGATTACAAGTGTGAACCACCACGCCCGGCCATTGGAGCTGTTATAAATTCTGTTAACTCTGAGGTAGAGACCTCTGAAATATTTTCTTCACTATCAGTGTGACCTCTATAGCTTTTATCCAATGGGTTAAACTTAATTTACCAGGTAATTAGATGATTTTAGCTGAATTTTCTTCTGGTCTGATCCTCTTTCTTTCACAGTTAAGCTACAAAAATTGTGAACTTTTACAAAAAGCTGCAGGTAAATAAGCTAAAAGTTCTTTGTTGAATTTGTATATTTCCAAATTTCCATTGCTTAATTTCCTATTTTGTGAAGAAGCAGGTTATCTAACCTCTTTATGGCTTACTATCTTCATCTGTCAAATGGAAAAATAATACACAGTCTTGTGGCAGAGTCTAGCTCAGAGTACCTAGTTGAGAGGGTTAATATCAGTAGCAAACTCTGATTCACTGCCTGCTAATGAATGACTCTTGAGCTAGGTAAGAACGATTTTTGTTTGGAAAAAAAAAATCAAAAGAATATTTTATGACATGTGAAAGGTTTTTGAAATTCAAATTTCACTGTCTATGAAATAAATTTTTGGGGGAACATAGTCATGACCATTCATGTATGGATAGTCTTGCGGGGGGTTTCACACTATAATGGCAGTGTTGAGTAGTTACAACAGCATGGCCCACAACGCCTGAAGTATTTACTATCTACCCAGTTCTTGATGGAAAGACTTTGCCAACTCCTGGTTTTGAACAATGTCTGGCATGTGGTGAGTACTCAGTATGTTACATGTTAGCTATTCACATCCAGAACGTTTATGTAAAGGTCCACAATGTTCATCATTTGTTTGGTTTTAATTTTACTGAGAATACATGGATTCAAAAAGAATAGAAAGTACGTATCTTTAAAAAAAAAAGCATTCTGGATAAAGAAAGCTGAAAAGTAAAATCAAAATAATGTTTAGGGATTTATTTTTAAGCAACTTTCTGAATTTTCATGACTTTGAATGATAAATAATTTAAAAAACCACAAGGGAACTTTTTCCACAAACTGAGTCTACTGCCAGCTAGGCAATGGAGCATTATCTTCCTCTGCCTGCCTGTGGTGGGTCTGCCCTGTGAACAGCAAGTGGAGATCAGGTGATTCTACTAATAGATACATGCAGATGTCTTCAGGATTCACAAAGTTTGAAGTGTGCATATTCTTGGAGCCACCATTTTGGGTGTTTGCCATGATCACACAAACTGGGTGATTATCACATCTGAACGTCACAGTGTATTCCGACAGTTTAAATTTAGCCTCCACTCATCCTGGTCAACATGGTTAAACACTGTCTCTACTAAAAATACAAAAATTAGCTGGGCATGGTGGTGCGTGCCTGTAATCCCAGCTACTTGGGAGGCTGAGGCAGGAGAATTGCTTGAACCCAGAAGGCGGAGGATCGTGCCATTGAACTCCAGTCTGGGTAACAACAACAAAACTCCGTCTCAAAAAACAAAAATAATAAAAAAAAAATAAATTTAGCCTCCACTGTCACAGGATATTAGAAGGCAGTATGTAGCTGTCTTAGTCAAGATCCTTTCTTTTCCCCAATTAACAGAAACCCACTTAGGCTAGTCTAAGCTGAAGGGAGTGTGGCTGCTTCAAGTATAATTGGGTCTACCATGGAAACCACATCCTGGAAGTGGAGTCAGGCTTCATGGACAACTGCAACTGGGACTGGAAAATTTTCGGAATCCTGCACATCTGTTTTATACTTTTCCCTTTACAGATTGCTCTCTCTGCTTCTCCATTTGTGACTGCCCCACATCTTCCTGATTTACTATCTGTCTCCAAATCTCAATTTCAGATTCCAAGAGGGAGAATTGGATTGGCCCAACATGGTTCAAATGCTTATTTCAGTGCAGTAGCTGCAGCCAGGAACAGGCTGTGTATAAATCAGGATAATCTAATTGCTCTAAGAGACAACCCCCATGATCTCAGGGGCAGGGGCAGGGGCAGGACAGAATAAAAGTTAACAGCTCACACTCACAGGTGTAGATAAGTAGGAATGGGGCTCTGCTCACACTCCCAAGTGTAGATAGGTAGGGGTGGGGGCCCTGCTCCATGCACTTCCACCTATTTTGGGGACCCAAGTTCCTTCCTTGGTATGGCTGTGTCATCACAGGGGTCTCCAAATCCTCTACTGTGACCTTATCTAGTCCATTGATGAGAAAAAACAAGAACATGGACAATTTTTAGGGATCAGGTTTGTAGGAGACATACATGACCTCTGTCTACATGGCATTAATGACAATTTAGATTGGGAAGTATAATTCAGCTATGTATGCCCAGCAGGAGAAAGAAACAGGATTAGTGAGCCGATAGCGTTGCCTCTTTCATAGAGAAACATAATACAACTGTATTATGGGTGGGTGTGGTAGAAAATGATTCTTAAAGAACAGTTTGTGTATGGGGAGGCAGACACCCCAACAGTGGACACTATAAGGGTCTTAAACTGACAGTCGAGGCCCAGCGGTGCTGATAGCTAGCCTGCCAGTTTACCTCACGTCTGGAACCTCCAGCCTCTCATTTGTGTCTTTTTTTTTTTTTTTTTTTTGAGATAGGGTCTCACTCTGTTGCCCAGGCTGGAGTGCAGTAGTGCCATCATTCTCTCATCTCAGCCTTCTAAGTAGCTGGGACTACAGGCATGTGCCACCATGCCCAGCTAATTTTTTAATTTTTTGTAGAGATGAGTTATCCCTGTATTAAACAGGCTGATTTTGAAGTCCTAGACTCAAGTGATCCACCTGCTTTAGCCTCCGAAAGTATTATGATGATAGGCGTGAGCCACCGTACCTGGCACGGCCCTCATTGTTAAGGGGAAATCATAACACCTGTTGATCTATAGGGCTTTATGATACTCTGGTGAGTGAGAAGATGTGAAACTGTTTTGTCAGCTGTAAATTATACACATGTAAAGGTGTTACAATAGGCTGTTGATATTTCTGCAAAAAAGTCTATTTCTTGGAAAATATGACTAAAGCCATACTGAGATACATACAGAGCTGGGATTTGAACTTAGTCTTGTGGCAGAGTCTAAGCTGTTAGATGCCACCCCAAATGTCCTCTCTGAAAAAGGCATAGGAACAGACCCCACTATTTAGGTGTGTTATGAGATCATAGATATAAAGTACTAATGATAGTACTTGGCATGTAATAAGCATTCCATAAGTAGTAGCTATTTTTTCAAGGGGAAAGTTCCCTCTTTGGTGAGTTGTACAATGCCCTCTTACTCTGATGCAGGAATGACTCTCCCAGCGCAGAAGTGTATATTGGATTCATTTAAAGCCCACGGAGATCACAATATTCTGATTGCCACCTCAGTTGCTGATGAAGGCATTGACATTGCTCAGTGCAATCTTGTCATCCTGTATGAGTATGTGGGTAATGTCATCAAAATGATCCAAACCAGAGGTAAGAGAAGCTTTGAGGCCATTCCTATGTGGCTTCTGTTTTGACTTGTTTATAAGTGTATCTGTCATTCTGGCCTTTCTCTTTACCGAGCTGTGGTTGAGTATGTGACCAGTGGCACAGTGCACTTTGGTATCATTGACCCTTAAGGTGGCTACAGTTTTGTTCACTAACATAAACCCTACTTTTCCCCAAAGGGTTCACTAACATAAACCCTTCTTATTCACAATGATACTGCTAACTTGCCTGACCTTGACTGATATATTTATGGAAGAATAATTTCAACTTGGATCGAAGCTTTGCCAGTCAAGATGTAGGCCTTTCATGGTGGTGCTGGTGGGCTCGTGGGCTCCCTGTATTCAAGAAGGGTTATTCCAGAGTTCTTCTGCCCCACCTGGGCTAGACTGGTCTCCTAATTAGTCTTCTCTCCTTTAGCCTTTTCTTTTTCCAATTTCCATAACAACAACTACCATATTACTTTTCCTGAAAAACAGCTCTGATCATGTCACTTCCTTGTATTGAAACACCAGTGGTTCCCCAATTTACTTGATGCTAAAGAGTTTCCAAAATCCAGCATCCATTTCTTTCCAACTTTACCTCCCATTCTTCCCTTCTGTTCATTATCCACTTCTGCCAACCTGACTTCCTCATTTATTGCTTGTTGAAGGAACTGCTACTCTTCATTTTACCTCTTCCTCTGCCTCCATATCACCTGACCCTAATTCTTCCAGCTGGCAATAATCTCTCTTTTGAATATAGAAAGCCTATAACCCTTTATCCTTGTAATAGCACTTACAATTTTCCATATGTGTTTTGCTGGTTCCAAACAGATCTTATTTCCCCATTGTCTAGGAGGCTCTTGAAGGAGGGTCTGTTTATTACTCATCTCAGAGCCATCACAGTGTTATACTGGGGGGTCATGTAGGTATCTTTAAAGCAGTGTTTCTGACAGTATGGCTGTCTAATCATTCTGCATTGTTGAGACCCTGAGAAAACCAGCCTAAGGTGGGCTCCTAGTTTTTCCACATACCTAACATGCAGGTACACACTTGCATTTGAGTCTACTTCCCCCCCGCCCCGAGATGGGTCTCGCTCTGTCATTCAGGCTAGAGTGCAGTGGTATAATCCTAGCTTACTGCAGCTTTGCACTGCTGGGCTCAAGCAATCCTCCTGCCTCATGAGTTTACTCTTTAACAGCTCAGCTTTCCTGAGAAGTGGGATTCAATGAACCAAAGTTAATTTTAGGAGTACCTCTATCTATTTGTTTACCTATTTTCAGATTATATCAGAACTTTTAAAGTCATAAACACCAACTAAAATATTTCTTTTCTGATAGGCAGAGGAAGAGCAAGAGGTAGCAAGTGCTTCCTTCTGACTAGTAATGCTGCTGTAATTGAAAAAGAGAACATAAACATGTACAAAGAAAAAATGATGAATGACTCCATTTTACGCCTTCAGACGTGGGATGAAGAAGTATTTAAGGAAAAGGTAAGTTTGTGTTATTCTTTCAGCATCTGACCACAAATAGCTATCAAGGAATGTGAGCATGGTTGGTACCTTTTATCATATGGCTTAGGGTGTTATATTAGAACAAAAAGTTTATACTTAGTTTTGCCCTCTAGTGAATATAAAATTTATTGTGTTTTTAAGTGCCAGTGACATTAAACTATATTAATAGTGCTAATATCTGGAGTTATGTTTTCAGATCTAAAAGGCAAATTGAGCTACGATTTCTCTAGTTGACAGTTGATCTCGAGGACTACATCCTAATACTGGAAGAAACAGCTCTTTTTTGTCTCTTCCTTAAATCTCTCTCTCCAGAGAGTTTGGGGTTTGGGTTTGAGCATCCTGGTCCCTGTATATGGGTTTTAATGGAAGGAAGGAACTCTGCAGAAGAGAGGGCAAAAGCTTGGAGCTCTTTAGGGCAATCTGCAAGAACAGGAAAGGGAGAGGGATGAGCAGAGGGTACCAGGAGACCGCTTTCTTCCCCAGCTCCCTGGCTGCGCTGTCCATTGTCTGTGTGTGGTCTGCTGTCACTAGAGCACTCCCCACCCCCCACCCCAGAATTCTCTGGTCACTCTGCAGCCATTTTAACATGTAGATGTTGGACACTTCAGGATTTGGAGTTTCATTCTGGAGGAATAAGGGATGAAGGGTATGACAGTTGCGGTTGTGAAGGTTTATTTGAAATCAAAATGCGGAAGCTGCTTTTCTTTCCTCATGGAGCAGAGAACAAAGACGGGGTGAAAGAAACTTCCATTTTGAACAAAGAACTTCCAACATGTATACCCATAACTACACATAATTGAGATAGTTTTGCTTTTATCCACTTCTGCGAGGCTTCTTTTTTAGCCACAGGTTGAATGGGTGGGGTCAGTATGCCATAGACTTAACTTACGACTGGTTGAGCCTCTGTACCCAGTTATTAATTTTTACTTAGATTTAAGTATAGCAGTAATAGTTTTAACTTGTTAGAATTTATATTCATTGTCTAGAGTAACATTTAAAATATCTGAGATTATTAGTATTTAATTGAATTTCTGTATTATAATTGAATACCATTATAAGTGAATTTTTTAAAAAGTTGGATGCCTGAAAAGCAAAGTTATATTTTTACCTTCTTTCTTGCTGATCTTTATTCTGCCTTAAGTAGTGATTAGAACCATATCTGAAAAAAGAAATTAAAGAAAATTAAAATTTCTCCTAGGAAAACATGTATCATATAACCCAGGGATTTTAATTCTAGAAATTTATCCAAAGGAAATAATGGGATAAATATATATAATGTAACAATTTTACAACAGCAAAAAATTGGATTTAAAAACAAGATGCCTGAGCACTCTTTATTTTTACAAAAACAATGAAGATAATTCAGGTGGGATGCGGCCAAGAAGTGGGGAAGGGGAAATTATATTTGGTTTTACTTTTTAAAAAATTATTTTCTTATTTATATTTTTGAGACAGGGTCTCACTTCGTCACCCAGGCTGGAGTGCAATGGCACAATCTCGGCTCACTGTACTCAGCCTCCCACGTAGCTAGGACTACAGGTATGTGCCACCATGCACCACTAATTTTTGTATTTTTAGTAGAGATGGGGTTTTGCTATGTTACCCAGGCTGGTCTTGAACTCTGGACTCAAGTGATATGCCTGCTGCCTTTGCCTCCCAAAGTGCTGGGATTACAGGCTGGGATTACAAGTGTGAGCTGTGGTGCCCAGCCAGTATATTTGTTTTTTTTAAATCAAAACATTCTAGTTCTAGCTGGGTATGAGGGCTCTGACCTATAGCCCCAGCTATGTGGGTGGATAATTTAAGCCCAAGAGTTCAAGTCCAGCCAAGGCAACATAGTGAGAATATGTCTCAAAAAAAAAAAAAAAAAAAAAAAAACCCAGGCACAGTGGCTTGCACCTGTAATCCCAGCACTTTGGGAGGCCAAGGTGGGTGGATAACCTGAAGTAAGAAGTTCAAGACCAGCCTGCCCAACATGGTGAAACCCTGCCTTTACTGAAAATACAAAAATTAGCTGGATGTGGTGGCACCTGCCCGTAATCCCAGCTACTTGGAGGCTGAGGCAGGAGAATCACTTGAACTCAGGAGGCGGAGGTTGCAGTGAGCTGAGATTGTGCCACTGCACTCCAGCCTGGGTGACAGTGTGAGATTCTGTCTCAAAAAAAAAAAATGTAAATTTTTTTATATAAAGCAAATTTGAATTTGAAGTGGTATGGAGATCAATATGTTCTCTATGTATGATCAATAATAAATTAACAGCTATAATTGGGAGGAGATTTCCATTCACAGTGACAATAATAACTGCAGCTCATGCATGTAGCACACTGACTCTCCAGTCTCTGCAAACGCTTTACTCATATCAATAGGCTTTACAGCAATCCATATGGTAGTGCCTCCTATGTCACTTTATAGGCAGGAACTGAGATTTGAATAGCTTTGGTGCCAGTAGATCACACAGCTAGTTCATGGTGGAGATGGTAGAGCCCATCCGTTTAACCATTACATCTAACAGCCTAATCAGAAAAGTTTGAAGCAGAAATGAGGACAAATACAAAAATTTTACTGGGAGAGGTAGAAGTATATTAAGACAAAAGAAAAGAAATGCCATGCTCTTGAATGGAATGAATATTTTAAACATGTGCATTCACCCCAAATTAGCTTATTCACTTACCACAACCCATATTGAAAGCACAAGTGATACTCTTGATAAAATGGTTCCAGAGTTTATCTAAAATAATAAACAGATGAAAATAGCTATGTTTCTAGAAAAATAAAAATGGGGGTGGCTAGTAGCTTAGTATTGATAAGGTAATCCCTAATGAATGGAGATTGGCTTATCAGTACAAAACTACAAGCCACCCCATTAACATTTTCATGGCTCTTAGCATAAGACCAGCCTAACAGACGGAGGCAACGCTGATGGGCATTTACCCTGTCCCAGGCAGCCTGAGCAGTCATAAACTCAAGTTATCTCCTGATAGTCTATGAAGCAGATGCTATTACACCATTTTGTATATAAAGAAACAGAGGCACTTGCCCAAAATCATAGCGCTGCTAAGTGGCAGGGACACTGTTTGCACCTAGGCTGTCTGGCTCCACCTGGGACACTTGAAAGCTTGATCTCATGGGGAGAGGTGCCACCATAAACCAGAGGGACGGACAGAATCTTCCGTAAAAGACATGGAGGAAATTGGCATGTTCTTTCTTCCTTTATGACGTTTCAGGGTTCCTTTTATCATTTCCTCTGTTTAGAAAGTTTCCTTTAACCATTCTTTTAGGGTAAGTCTGCTGATGACAAATTCTTAGTGTTCCTTCATCTGAGAATGTCTTCATTTCTCCTTTATTTTTGAAGGTGGCATTTTGCTGAGTCTAGGGTTCTGGGGTGACTGTTCTTTTCTTTTGGCATCTAAAAAATATTGTGCCACTTCCAGGTAGCCTCCATTGTTTCTGATCACAAATCCCCTGTTATTCAGACTGATTTCCCCCTGTGAGTAAGGTGTCATTTTTTTTTTTTTCCTGGCTGTTTTCAAGATTTTTCTCTTCAGTTTTCCTAAGTTTAATTATAACGTGTCTCATTGATTTTTGGAGGGGCTTATCCTCTTTGGAGCTTGTTCAGGTCTTGAATCTTGATGTAGCTTGTTAAATTTGGCTTATGTTTGGCTGTTACTTCTTTGAATACCTTTTAAGTCCTGCTCTTTCCTCTCTCCTTGTAGAACTCCAGTGCCATGACACATGTTTTATAGTCCTGCGGGTCCTTGAGACTATGCTTTTTTTTTCCCAGTGTATTTTTGTTGTTGTTCAGATTGGGTGGTTTCTGTTGTTCTTTCAGTTCACTGACTCTTTTGTCCCTTCCATTCTGTGGAAAGCCCATCCGTTGAACTTTTTATTTGGTTATCATATCTTTCTGTTCTAAACTTTGTCTTCCATTTCATTGTTTGAGCCTTTATGTTTTCTTTTAATGTTTCAAAAGTGTTATTAATTGCCCATCAAAGCATCTTTATTGGGTGCTTTCAAATCTTTCTCATCTCAGTGTTGGCATCTATTGATTGTCTTTTTTTTTTTTCATTCAGTTTGGGATCTTTCTGTTTATTGGTATGAGGAGTTTTATATCATGTCCATGGTTCTAAGTTGGACCATACTCTTAGCCAAGGCCTAGATTTTGAATTAGAATACAATTGTTCTATACATACACAACAATATTCCCTGTTGCTGAAGGTGAGAGAGAAAAAGATTTTAGATGTTGGGGGCTGTATTAGTCTGTTTTCATGCTGCTGATAAAGACATACCTGAGATTGGGGTGGGGGGAAGAGGTTTAATTGGGCTTACAGTTCCACATGGCTGGGGAGGCCTCAGAATCATGGCAGGAGTCTAAAGGCACTTCGTATGTGGCAGTGGCAAGAGAAAATGTGGAGGAAGCAGCAAAAGCGGAAACCCCTGATAAACCCATCAGATCTTGTGAGACTTACTCACTATCAGAATTGCACAGGAAAGACCGGCCCCCATGATTAAATTATCTCCCCCAGGTCCCTCCCACAACATGTAGGAATTCTGGAAGATACAATTCAAGTTGAGATTTGGGTAAGGACACAGTCAAACCATAACAGGGGCTCTTCTGCCTGCTGTATGACTCATTGCGTTTGTGCCTGAAAATGGATATAATTACTCCTGAAACAGCACATATTGTGTATCTAGTACAGGTTTTGGTTTTTCAAGTTTTGCCTATTCTGTGGACATCTTTAGTGCTTTTATGAGCATTTTTGATGAAGAAATTGAAAGACTAATTGGAGGCCACAATTAAGCATCGATTAATAATTTAGTTAGGAAAAGCAATAAAATCTGCAACTTTTCAAAGTCAGGTACCATATGTTCATGGAAGTTGAATATGAATGATTATATATGTGTGTACATGTATATGTATATATCTGTGCCTATTTCTATATATTAAATACTCAAGTTACATTTGAGTTCTTTCTTTTTGCATTAGATTCTGCATATACAGATTCATGAAAAATTCATCAGAGATAGTCAAGAAAAACCAAAACCTGTACCTGATAAGGAAAATAAAAAACTGCTTTGCAGAAAGTGCAAAGCCTTCGCATGTTACACAGCTGACATAAGAGTGATAGAGGTAAGCTGCCTTTTTATAAAGAATACCTGGTTATGTTTTAGCAGTAGCTAAAGCTTACTGTCTGTTGATGAAATATTTATAGTAAAACTACTATTTCCATTGTTACTGTGGCCATGATCTATGTATTTTAAAAAAGCTAAGAAGTGAAAAAGAAATCTTAAACGTTCAATAATAAAGAAATAGTTTTTGGCCAGGCATGGTGGCTCACACCTGTAATCCCAGCACTTTGGGAGGCCAAGGTGGGAAGATCGCTTGAGTCCAGGAGTTCAAGTGCCAGCCTGGGCCACATAGACCCAATCTCTTAAAAAAAAAAAATTAGTTGGGCTTGGTAGCATGCATCTGTAGTTCCAGCTACTCAGGAGACTGAGGTGAACTGATTGTTTGAGCCTGGGAGATCAAGCCTGCAGTGAGCTGTGACTGTACCACTGCACTCTAGCCTGGACAACAGAGGTAAGACCCTGGATCAAAAAAAGAAAAAAATTATTTAAAAAAATTGTTGTACAGCCACTTACTTAAATATCATACAGCCATTAAAAACATGTTGGGCGTGGTGGCTCACACCTATAATCCCAGGACCTTGAAAGGCTGAGGCAGGCAGATCACCTGAGGTCAGGAGTTCAAGACCAGCCTGGCCAACATGGTGAAAGTCCGCCTCTACTAAAAATACAAAAATTAACTGGACATGGCAGTGGGTGCCTCTAATCCCAGCTACTCGGGAGGCTGAGGCAGGAGAATCACTTGAATCCAGGAGGCAGAGGTTGCAGTGAGCTGAGATTGCACCACTGCACTCCAGCCTAGGTGACAGAGCAAGACTGTCTCAGGAAAAAAAAAAAAAGGTTATGCTAAATCCTGGATTAGATCCTGGAACAGATAAAGGATCCTAGTAAAGAGAGAGTGGTAAAATCTGTAGTTGAGATAATAGTAATGTATTGATGTTAATTTCTTGGTTTTTGACAAATGTACTGTGGTATATCAGACAGTAGCACTTGGAGAAACTGGGTAAAGGTATGCAGAAGTTTTCTGGGGTGTCTTTGCAATTTTTCTGTAAATCTAAAATCATTCCAAAGTAAAATTTATTTAAAAAAAATGACTATGGGCCGGGCGCGGTGGCTCAAGCCTGTAATCCCAGCACTTTGGGAGGCCGAGGCGGGTGGATCACGAGGTCAAGATATCAAGACCATCCTGGTCAACATGGTAAAACCCTGTCTTTACTAAAGATACAGAAAAAAATTAGCTGGGCATGGTGGCGCGTGCCTGTAATCCCAGCTATTTGGGGCTGAGGCAGGAGAATTGCTTGAACCCAGGAGGTGGAGGTTGCGGTGAGCCGAGATAGCGCCATTGCACTCCAGCCTGGGTAACAAGAGTGAAACTCTCCATCTCAAAAAAAAAAAAAAAGACTATGAAGTTCGGTATAAAGAAAAACTGCTTACAAACTAATGGCGATGTGGAAAAAATAACCAGAACTCAAAATTGTAAAGATGCTGCTTTATAGCTGTGTGAAACAATACCAGCAAATACCACCACTGCCACTATCAAGAGAAAAAGTAAAACAAAAAACTTACCTTTCTACAGAAAAACAAAGACTAGGGGAACTATATCAAAATGTATTAATATTTTAGTTGTGAGATTCTGTGATTTTTTTCTCTTTTCCTTCGATTTTATGTTTTCCAAACATTCCTTTTGGACTATGGATCACCTTTATAATGAAAACAAAGTATCTCTTTATTTGTAAAACATGATATCTGCAGGTTAGCCTTCTATTGCAGCCTTATGATTTTTTCTTAAAACTTTCAGAGAAAGGGTTAGAAAGATCTTCAAAGAGAAATGTAGGGTATAACTCTCTTGCATGGAGGGCATGGTGGAGGGGCTGGGCTGGGCTGGCTTACATGAGGAGTTATTACTTCAGGGTGTTCTGTTCCTCTTCAGAAAGCAGAAATCTCTCATCAGCCCAGCCCTTTGGGCAAGAAGCATATTAGGAGTCATATTGCTAAGTTCCCTTGCTTTTCTGAGTCTGCTTCTTTATCTGCAAAAGGTCCTTTCAGCTCCAATTTGGGTGATTATTCTATTAAAAATGGACGTTAGACCATATGTTTTCCTGAGGAACTAGTATGTTGGATCTGCATTTGGTTTCTGAGCTGTTAACTCTAAAGTTGACTCTAGGTGAGGCCTGTGGACACAGTAGTCCCTGACCTTCTTCAATTGTATCTTGACCTTGGTCGTTTTTCCCTGTATCCTTTGGATTGTGCCTGCCAGGGCCACTGGTGTGGTGAACTTGAGCTTCACAGATTTTCAACAAACGCTGCTTTTGTTTTTGAATAAAGAATATCTACCTTTAGAAACTGGGTTACCTGGAAACTTCCTAAATCCCCCTCTTCATGAGGTGCCCAGTATCCTCACTTGCAACCCCACCCAGCCTGTAGAGGAGAGTCAGGTGCATGGATCCTCCTCTGGACTTAGGTGAATCCATATTTTTTCCCTCCAATTGTAAAATAAGCGAGACCCACCTGTTCTTCATCTCAGTTTATTGCAGAGTTTCTTTTTTTCTTTCTTTTTTTAAAATCACAGTTATGTACTGGTTCTAATGTTCTCTTTTGTGTGTTATTCCATCCCTTCCTCTGCAGGAATCCCAATTCACTGTGCTTGGAGATGCTTTTAAGGAATGCTTTGTGAGTAGACCACATCCTAAACCAAAGCAGTTTTCAAATTTTTATAAAAGAGCAAAGATATTCTGTGCCCGACAGGACTGCAGCCATGACTGGGGAATCCATGTGAAGTACAAGACATTTGAGATTCCAGTTATAAAAATTGAAAGTTTTGTGGTGGAGGATATTGCAACTGGAGTTCAGACACTGTACTCAAAGTGGAAGGACTTTCATTTTGAGAAGATACCATTTGATGCAGCAGAAATGTCCAAATGATATCAGAGCCTCAATCTTCAGCTTCAGGGAATGAGTAACTCTGAGTGGAGAAGAAACTAACCTAGTGGGTATAATCATGGATTGCTTGTACCACTGTGAGGGTTTCTTTTTTTAATATCATTAACAGTTTGTACCATATTATATATGCAGAGCACAAATGAATGAATCACAGCACTGGATATTTAGTAGGCCAACAGAGCTCACAGTACTTGGGAAAAATTAAAAAGCCTTATTTCTAGCCTTCTCTTTAGAGTCAGCTGTCAACAAACACACAGTGATCACTCTACATGTTGGGATAGATGAATGGAATGTTGGAAATTTTTCTATATCTCCCTTTCTTTTCTTAACCTACTGTAAAGTGGCTTTTGCTCTTAACAATCTACTGAAATTGTTCTTTTGAAGGTAACCAGTGACTCTGGTTGCCAAATCCATTGGGCATTTCTTGACCTTCTTTCTATTTGACATCTGCACATTTGGCCCTGTTGAGTATTCTTCCTGAAATTCTCACTTGGCTTCTCTTCTAGTTCTATTCTAGTCTTTTTTATTGAGTCCTCTTTGCTGATCCCTTAAGTGTTGATAATCCCAAGGATTCAATATATGTACATATATAAGTATATACTATACATATGTATATGTAACTATTATACATACAGGTATGTGTATGTAATGGTTATATGTACTCGTGTTCTCTGTGTAGCAACATGAGGTATGGCTACACAGAGAACATGAGTACATAAAGCCATTTTTATGCTTGTACTAAAAGCTGTCCACCATAGAGCAGCTGTGTGTAGCAATATGTGTCCACTCTACAGTGGACAGCTTTTAGTAATGAGCATAAAAATGGTAAAATACTTCTTAGAAACTTGCCAAATACATTTTGCCCTATTAATATGTTCTCTTAACATGCCATTGTTCTCTTTGACCATTTTCCTATAATGGCTGACGTTCAACTGAATGTCTGTTCTTGGGTCCCTTGGACGTTACTGATGAGGCAGTTTGTCCTTTCTACTTGAAAAATTACAGTATGTATTCAAATGGCATTCATGTGTCACTTAGCAAGGTTTGCTGATGCTTCAAAGAGCTTAGTTTCCAGTTTTCTAGACAAGGAAATAAGTTCCTGAGTTCCCTGGATATCAACAGGATGATGTATTACAGCCGCCTCCCTCTTCGTGCAATCCGGTGACCAGTGGTGCAGGCGGGGAGCCATAGAAACCTCCCAGTTATGTAACTTTTCTTTGGCTTCTCTTCATATGTAAAACAAGGATAATACTGAACTGTAAGGGTTAGTAGAGAGTTTTTAACTTAAAGAATGTGTGAAAAGTATATGACATAGTAGTTGCTTGGTAAGCTACTAGTAGTAGTTGTCTTAGTAAGACCCAATACAAATGGATTATTTAAACCAAGTTTGAGTTTTTAAATTTTCCATTTGTTTTTTATTAAGAGCATCTTTTGTTGTGCAGTTTTTTTTTTATTGCTATTTGATATGGTTTGGCTCTGTGTCCCCACCCAAATCTCATCTTGAATTGTAATCCCCATAATCCCAATGTATCAAGGGAGGGACCTGATGGGAGGTGATTGGATCATGGGGGCAGTTGTCCCCATGCTGTTCTTGGGATAGTGAGTTCTCAGGAGATCTGATGGTTTTGTAAGTGTTTGACAATTCCTCCTTTATATACTCTCTCTCATATGCTGCCATGTAAGACATGCCTGCTTCCCCTTCTGCCATGTTTAAGTTTCCTGAGGCCTCCCCAGCCATGTGGAACTGTAAGTCTATTAAACCTCTTTTCTTTATATTCAGTCTCAGCTAATTCTTTATAGCAGTGTGAAAATGGACTAATACACTATCATCGAAGAACTCTAATATGATGTGTAAAACATCTAGAAATAAATTTCATAAGTTTTTTTTTTTTTGAGTTGGAGTCTTCGTTCTGTTGCCTAGGTTG